GATCCTGAGAATAAACCTCTTGCTGTAAGCATCTGCATCAAGCAACTAGTCACCACAAATGTGTGCCCTGGAGGTAGAGGAGGTAGGACGATAGGTCCATCAGAGTCTGCTATATCGATGTTGCCCCGATAGTTGTCATGCTGTCATGGGCCTGATGGACCATGCACCTTCACTGCATCTCCTAATTGATTTTCAGCTAGACCTCGGTTTTCCTCTCCAACTACTCTTGGCTGTTGTAACTCAACTGCATCACCAAGATTTACTCCGATAGGATTAACTGGAAGTCCTTGATTATTCATTTTTCTCAACGTTCTGTTCAACTCTGGATCGTACGGAGTAAGTGGTTCGCCTTGGCTCCGTGTAATTGGCATACACTAGAGTCAGAATCTGAGAGAGACAAAAACAAAAAGAAAAAGGTAAAATTAGGAAATATTTGACTAACTTTCAATAATGTAGTTAAAAATAAATCTACAAGTCAATTTCCCCGGCAGCGGCACCAAAATTTGATACTCTTAAATACACCTCCCTAAAGAAGTATAAGCGATCGTTATCAAGTAAAGAACCCAACTTGTAGGTTGGGGTCGATCCCACGAGGAAAATGGTTTTGACTTTACTTTAACCAACAATTATATTCAATTAGCCAAAGTATTTCTAGAAACAAAGAAATAAAAAGGGGGGGGGGGATTTGTGAAACAAATTGTGAGAATTCAGTAAGTAATCAATAATCAAAAGTCAATTTTGGTTGTTATCAAGATGAGAAAATTAACTAGAGTAAACATGTTCCCCACAATCTAAATCCTTGATCCGGCATCTAAAACACTAGTACAAAACTAAAACAACTATCAAATTTAATACAGAGAGGAAATCAAACAAAGCAAGCCTTTAAAAAAAATAAACTATATCCTATCGTTGGTTAGATTGTACATCTTGGGTTGCCTCCCAAGTAGCGCTTGATTTAACATCGCGGCATTACGCAGGCCTCTTGATTACTCAGACTTCATCACCTATTGTTGGCTAGATTGTACATCTTGGGTTGCCTCCCAAGCAGCGCTTGATTTAACGTCGCGGCACGACGCAGGCCTCTTGATTACTCAGACTTCATCAAGATTGTAGGCCTCAATCACTTCTTCCACAGTTTCAGCATTTCCTAGGTAGATCTTGATTCTTTGCCCATTTACTATGAACCTTTTTCCATCCTTTTTTTCAAGCTCAACCGCCCCATAGGGGAACAATTTTGTGACCAAAAATGGCCCAGTCCATTTGGACTTGAGTTTGCCTGGAAACAAGCGCAACCTAGAGTTGAATAGGAGCACAAGATCTCCAACCACAAATTCTCGCTTTTCAATTCTTTGATCATGATACCTCTTCATCTTTTCTTTGTATATGGCTGAACTTTCATAAGCTTTTAGGCGAAAATCATCAAGTGTATTCAGATCATCCATTCTTTGATGAGATGCGGCGCCCCAATCCAAATTTAACTTCTTCATTACCCACATCGCCTTATGCTCTAGCTCTACTGGTAAATGACAAGATTTTCCATATACGAGTTGATAAGGAGACATACCTATGGGGGTCTTGTATGCAGTGCGATATGCCCATAGAGCAACATCAAGCTTCATTGACCAATCCGTTCTATTAGAATTCACAGTCTTCGCCAATATCTGTTTGATCTCTCTGTTGGACACTTCAACTTGACCGCTAGTCTGTGGATGGTAAGGAGTGGCCACATTGTAACGGACACCATATTTCTCAAGTAGTGCCTTGACCAACTTATTGCGGAGAGCATCATCCATCTTCCTTGACCAATCCGTTCTATTAGCATTCACAGTCTTTGTCAATATCTGTTTGATCTCTCTGTTGGATACTTCCACTTGACCGCTAGTCTGTGGATGGTAAGGAGTGGCTACATTGTGACGGACACCATATTTCTCAAGTAGTGCCTTGAACAACTTATTGCAAAAGTGAGAACCTCCATCGCTAGTAATAGCCCTCGGTGTACCAAATCTGGAGAAGATATTCTTTTTTCAAGAATGCGGTGACACTTTTACCTTCATTGTTGGGGAGCGCTACTGCTTCCACCCACTTTGATACATAATCAACCGCAACAAGAATGTACTTCATCCCATATGAACTCACAAATGGTCCCATAAAATCAATGCCCCATACATCAAATAATTCTATCACCAGTATAGGATTCATAAGGAGCTTTTGCCTCTTTGAAATCCCTCCTTCTCTTTGGCAACGATCACAAGACTTGGCGAAATTATGAGCATCTTGTTGGATGGTAGGCCAATAGTCTCCACACTGCAAAATCTTATGCGCAGTTCGAATACCACTATGATGTCCACCAACTGTCGATGAATGACATGCTTCAAGTACACTTCACATCTCAACCTCAGGCACACAACGACGAATAATCCCATCCGCACAACTACGATACAAATAAGGTTCATCCCAAAAGAATTTCTTCACATCATGCGTAAACCTTTTCCTTGGTGAAAAGATAAATCTGGGGGCACAATATCGCTTGCCAAATAATTAGCAAAGTCTGCGAACCAAGGAATCAAATCATGAGAAGCAGCCAATACCTGTTCATCTGGAAAAGCATCATTAATTTCTTTCATTTGGACCCACAGTCATACCACCTTTTTTTGGCACACACTGCACAGGACATACCCAACTACTATCTGAAATTGGATAAATAACTCCCGCATCCAACCACTTGATGATCTCCTTTTTAACTACCTCTTGCATAGGTGGAATTAATCTTCTCTGGTGCTCGATACTAGGCCTGTGATCTGGCATGAGTTGGATTTTGTGAGAGCAAATACCGGGAGGAATCCCAATGATATCCGCAATAGTCCACCCAATATCTCGCTTGTACCTTTTTAACACAGTCACCAAGCACTCTACTTGTCCTGCATTCAAATCTGCCGCAATAATGACTGGCAAAGTATTCTCTTCGCCCAAGTATACATACCTCAAGTGCGGTGGTAGAGCCTTAAGCTCCAATTCGGTGCCTCCACAATAGATGGTCTTGCGGGTGGGGACTCGCGATTCTTCATGTCTAATTCATACTTCTTTATTTTGGGCCGGTATTCACATCTGTCGAGTGCGGCTACCAACTCATCATAATCTTCAATGCCATCACTATCGAAATTCATAATAACTACTGCTAGTGCCTCAACACCTAGTCGCTCTTCAATTTGCACTTCTGTCCCAGTCTCCACTCTGTAAGTTATAGCAGATACTGTTTGAAGCTCACCACTCTGCTTCATGGACCTACAAATATTGAAAGTTGCTTCTTCATTATTTAGTCTGAACTTCATCTGCCCCTTTTCCATATCAACCAACGCACGCCCTGTGGCAAGAAGGGTCTCCCAAGGATGATGGGAACCTCAAAATCAACCTCACAGTCAAGAATCACAAAATCTGACCGAAAAAATGAAATACTCCACTTTCACTAGCACATCATGGAGTACACCAATGGGCCTTTTCACAGTTCGATCGGCCATTAGTAATCGCGTTGCAGTGGGCTTTGGGTCCCCTAGACCTAACTTCTTGTAAATAAGACAATGGCATGAGGTTGATGCTAGCACCAAGATCATACAAGGCCTTAGAAAAGTGTAACAACCCTATAGTACATAGGATCGTGAAAGCACCAGGGTCTTCTTTCTTCTGCACAAGAGATCTTGTAGCGATAGCGCTACAATGCTGCAATCTATCATCATCTTCAAAACTCACCGATCTTTTCTTTGTCACCATATCTTTTATAAACTTCGCATACCTAGACATTTGCTCCAAGGCTTTTATCAAAGGAAAATTGATAGAAAGCTACTTCAACATAATAATAAACCTGCGACATTTACCATCTTCAGTCTTCTTGACTACCCTCTGTGGAAAAGGTGGTGGATGTCTAGGTATGGGGACCACTTTCTGAGGTATCTCCGCTTCTTTCTCTGATGCATTCTCAGACTCTTCTCTAATCTCTATCAAATCATCTTATTTTCTAATCTCAACTTCCACCTCAGACGGCCTAGGTGGATCTATGGTTTGTTTACCTCCTCAAGTAGTAACTGCCATACAATGACCGTCATTCTTTGGATTCTGAATGGTGTTGCTAGGAAGAGTGCCAGGTTGATGTGGGTTCACTGTAGTAGACAATTGTGTCATCTACTGCTCTAGGTGCTTTATTGACACTGCGTGGGCATCAACCTTTTGTCCAATACCAGACAAGTCGTTTCTCATCTCCTTCACATTCTCATCAGTTGCATCAAACCTTCTCATCATCTTCTGCATCATATCTTTGATGCGCACCATATTGCCTCGAGTTTCCCTAGCACCAGATTCTCGATTTTGAGGAGGAACATAAGGTCCAGTCCGATCGTTTCTGTTGCCATAATTGTTCCTATTGTAGTTGTTGTCGCGATTGAAGTTCCCATCCCGGACATAGTGACCCTCTCGGTTGTAATTTCCATAGTTCCGACCTTGGTTTCCTTGACCTTGGCTCCAATTTTCCGTGTTGGATCCTTGGGCATTTGGTCGGAAACCCCCCGTCTGATCATTCATAGGATAAGCATCCTCTTCATAGTAACACTCTTCAACTGGTGGTGGAGTTCTCGTTAAGTAATTCACAGCATTTACCTTTTCTGCTCCTCCGCTCACTTGTTTCAATACCAACCCCAACTCTGTCCTCATCTAAGCCATCTCCTCACGAATGTCATCTGCAGAATTGTCAGTGGTATTATGAACGGCAAACGTGTTTCTCCCAGTATCTGACCTCCTAGTGCTCCATGCTTTATTGTTGCGAGAGATCCTCTCCAATTTTTCAGAAATCTGTGCATATGTACAATCACCATATGAACCTCCAGCAATAGTGTCAAGTACTGCTTTATTGTTATCATCCTGTCCTCGATAGAAATATTCCTTAAGTGACTCTTCATCAATACGGTGATTTGGGACACTTCTAACAAAGGCAGTGAATCTGACCCACGAGCTACTCACGGACTCTCCAGGTAATGCCACAAAATTGTTGACCCGATCTTTGTGATTGAGCTTCTTAGATACTGGGTAGTACTTTGCTTTAAATACCTCTGCTAGTTGGTCCCATGTGAAAATTGAGTTATAAGGAAGCTCAGTGAACCATACTGCAGCATCGCCTATCAGTGAAAGAGGGAACACTCGTAATCCAATGACATTCATATCCAAGTCTGGTCGACCTACCCAACTTTTGCACACTACCCTTAATTTGGCTAGGTGAGCATGTGGATCCTCCGAAGGCGATCCTGAGAATAAACCTCTTGCTGTAAGCATCTGCATCAAACTACTAGTCACCACAAATGTGTGCCCTGGAGGTAGAGGAGGTAGGACAATGGGTCCATCAGAGTCTGCTATATCGATGTTGCCCCGATAGTTGCCATGTTGCCGTGGGCCTGGTGGACCATGCACTCTCACTGCATCTCCCAATTGATTTTCAGCTAGACCCCAGTTTTCCCC